CCCTCGTTTTTCAGTTTTCAGGCTGAAACGACCGGGGCCTGTAGATCCTAAGTTTTAGGCTTTTAGGCTGAATGTCCGGGACGGGTCCTACAGGGCCCGTGTGGCTACGCAGTATGCCACATCAACTGTCCACATATGCAGAACGGGATTGACTCCTCCACCAGAACATAAAGAGATACGTCTTTGTACATGTGGAGAGTAGTGCAGCTCGGCACCGACTTATCTTTCTTCTTTGGGGTTGGCTCCACTACTCTCCACACGCACAGAAGACAGAAAGTTATGGCAATGTATCTTCTTTCCATATTCTAGAGGAGGATTCGGTCTCATTTTGCACATTTGGAGAGTGGTGGAGCGAGGCCCTTTGATACATTGCCATTTTAGAGCTGGTTGTGAACGTGAAGAGTGGTAGAGCGAGGTCAAACGAGTCGTTTCCTCCTCTGACAACAGGGAGGAGACGTTATGAGCCTTGTTCCACTACTCTCCACATGCACCAAAGACAGAAAATCTGGCAATGTATCTTTCCATGTTGTACTGCACGATCCAGTCTCATTTTGAGCGTTTGAAGAGTGGGCCCCGTGAGAGACGGGGAGCAATCAATAGGCCTCTGTCATTTCACGGATATCGACAGCAATGCTCTTTCCAGAAAGTATCTGACAGCGCTTGTGACCACGCTCAGGCTGATCCACGAGTGAAAACAACCCCTCATCGTTCCAGCTGCTGGCAGCAGGTCCAGCATAAGGGGCGTTACCTGTCCCAACCAACAAATTTCCCCTGACAGTTCCCCCTCCAGGCTCGGCAAAGCTTGGCGCGCAGGGCAAATCAGGGGGTCGGGAAAAGAAGCTTGTGGTACTGGTGGTTTAATAGTTAGTCAGTGTGACAATTTGCATCCATGCACTGGACACCAAGTGACTAAGTAATTAAGGTTCCGTACACTCCAGTTCAGAATTGAAGCCATTGCAGGGTACTAGAATAAACGGTTGCCCCAAAAATAAGAAACGACAGTACGGCCTGCATAGCTTTTCGGACTATGTTGAAGATAAAGCGGCCTCTTACAGTGTCAGTCGCTTTATCCGGCACAAAGCGCCCTAGGACTTCCCTGGGTGTATGTGATGGCATTGCAGACACATTTAGTAGGCAGAATCGTAGCGTAAGCTCCCTAGGTGTTAGCGCCAATTCACAACAAAAAGGCGCCAATCACTCAACAGAAAAACGAAAAAACGAATCACTTACGGAGAGGTTTCTGAGAAAAGGCTGACCTGATCGTCCTGAGAGCAACGCTCTGATGAAAGTGTGAAGACAGGTTCCTGTGAACATGAAGAGTAGAGCAAGAAACGCCAAACACCTGACACATGCACATGCACAGCCACATTTATGTCAAGCCATCGGGAGAACTGGCAACGTATCCGACTAGAACACTCTTATCACTACACACGTGGGCATGTTGCAGCTTCGTCCGGGACAAAGGGCAAAAAAGTGAATGCAAACCAACTGGGCAAAGAGAATCGATGTGCAGTCATTACCTATTCACAACGACCGCATGTGTCCATGAGAGAGAGGGCCAACATGCATGATGCATGCACATGTCCATGAGAGAGATAGAGCCAGATGCATGGTGCACAAACATTCATCACAACAGTTTCTTTTCCAATATGAGAGGGGGGTAAAGTTATTGTGTAATCCAACCGGATTGGAACTCTTCATCTGCTGATTAACAGTTACATGTGCGTACCATTCAGCCAGAGGAGGGGTGCTGCAAGGTGCATGTCTGACACAGCCTACCCATCAGCCAAACACACCACAGACATGCATTTCTGACATCACTGAATTATTATCGCGGGCAACTACCTTTCTTCCCCCGAACACAATCCCTCATCATCATGACTGTACTTGGACAAGAATGGGGTTCATATACATTCACGATTTTGGGGCATTACCTCCGGGCAAGAAGGGAGCAGTTTTATCACTCCACGAACTGTTGCTCCTACACGACTTTCAACTCACCACATTTGCCTTGATGAAAAGTTTCTGGACATGTACTTCATAACTTCAATTGCCTTTGCTTCATCAGCAGTACTGTCATCTCTTCCTGAGAATGAAGAGAACAGAGACAAGGAAAACAGCATGCAGATAGCAAAAAGCTGCAAAGTTATTGGACGATTAAACGCCAAGAAACAATGAGAGGGCGAGGGGTGGGCGGAACAACACCACTGCAATCGACACCCACCTTTGTCCCCTTCCCCGCTTCCCCCCCTTACCTTTCTGAAAAGAACACTCTTCCAAATTTACTGCAGGGATTTGCATGTAAGGAACGGACTTCCCCTGAACTCAAATACATTCCTTGAATCTCTTTCCTTTCTTCAACTCTATTCATTCCCCTTTCTTCAAGCACACCACACTGGCGTAACTCCGGAGTCTAAACTTAGCAACAACCGACACCAGTGTCCAAATGCAAATTATCTGGCCTGCCTAATGGCAAGGTGCACTTCCAAATTATATCTCAACACCCACACGATTGTCCAAACTACACCTTGCAGTGAGCTAGACTACTACATTGCCACAAAGTTGCATCGAATTTTAAGCTCTTTCTTCTCACCGACAACCCCCAATGGCTCGAGAGAGAAGACAAGACAAGACGAGACAACACACGACAAGAGAGAAGAGAACAGACACAGAGAAGAGAGAAGAGAGAAGAGAAAGCGGGGGGGGGAAGGGGGAATCAAATTAATCGCCTTCACATTGACTCAACCGGTTTTTGATTGAATAACTATAAAAAGATAGGATAAACTGTTGTCTCTCTATCAGAAGAAAAATAAAAGTTAACAACAAAAAATTAGTAAACATCAGAAAGACGGGTATCAGCATAGAAACATGTATTTATGTACCAAATTGGGTAATACTACAGAACAGAACAGAACAGACAATACCTTTCTCGGCCTTTTGACTAAGATCAAGTGTAGTATCTATTCTGATCAGTTTAATATCTGGAAAAAAAAAGAGAAGAGAAGAGAAGAGAAGAGAAGAGAAGAAAGGAGAAGAGAAGAGAAGAGGTGTAAGAGAAGAGAAGAGAAGAGAAGAAAAGAGGTGTAAGAGAAGAGAAGAAGTGAGAAGAGAAGAGAAGAGGTGT